GGAGTTTTAGAGTCGTGATTTGAACCATGTCGTCGTCTATTTAGTAGGCATATGGCTGTGTAGCCGTCAGTATATTATTCAGTTAGGCCCTGTACCATTTGGGAAATAAAGCCATGTTATTGATGTGTATGTGTGCTCGAGTGTGTGGCAGCGTGGTCTAAACTCATGTCCCTGTGCTCATATATTTACATGTCAGATTAATAAACTACCTGCATTTTATATTTCGGTGTCTGTGTTCACTAGCGAAACTTCAATCATATCAGACTGTAATACCCTGACGGACCCAAGATCACCGAACCTGGGTGTTGGTTTTGAAGTGAAAAACCAATCCTTTTACACATATAAAAGTAGTGGATCAACTGTAACTTGTATAAAGTTCTGTATATGATAACACTAAGCATGTTAGAATGACCTATTTTACATAATACAGTAGTTGTCCATTTCTGATCAAAATTAATGCCAGCAGTTATGTTAGGTTTGATTTAGTGTTATTGGGTTTGAGTTCTATTCATTCATGTGTATAGGTTGGTGTAATAGCCTCCTTGCGATAGCGCGGATCTGATGCCAATTTGGTTTCTCGGTTGTTCAGAAGTTGATTGAAAGCTTTAAAGACAACTGACCACTCTGAACTTGAATATCAGCACCCTTTTTGTTATTTAGAAGAAGTCGTATAAAGGTTTTAAACATATTTGACCTCTGTGCCCTTGATTATAGTAAAGGTTATTTTTCTAAGTTAATTCACCAAATTCCTAATTATAATGACCTTTTCCCTTCAACGAACTCTTAACATTAGGACCTAAGGATCTTTCAGGTCAATTGATTTACTTTATACGAATTATCCATGATCAAGAAATAGGATCCAATAAGGCCCTCTCCAGCTTGTTCTCGTTTACCCCACTTTTTAAAATAACATGGGGGGGGGGGGGGAAGAATGTTGTTAGAAGGATTATAGTCTGTTTCTAAGTAGTATGGGCAGTATTTACCTGTGTTATTACCTGTGGTTAACCCTTCAACTAAGGTGGTGTTTTATCATATCTAATTTAATAACACATTATATAAGTTGTTTTCATATTTGTAATGACAAATGTTAAAATTTAAATTATTTAATTATTAATCATATATATAAATATATATATTCAGTATTAAATATATCCATTTTGTAGTCCTTGTGCTGCTGATATGATCAGATGAAATGTGTTATTTCATTTTCTATTACTTTAAAAACATTAATATAAATAGTTATTAAATAGTCTTTATTATTGTAACATTTAATAAGATGTCTACATTACCTTGTACAAAATGTAAGAATGTAATGTGTGACTAAGAGTGTGGTGTTTAACAGTTAATTAATCAGTTAATTAATCAAAATTCCTAGATGTTATAAGTATCTTATAACTATCATAAAAATCATTGAACATCTATAATTATCCAAACTCCATTTCCATCCAGGTGAGCTAAAAGTGATCACAGCCTATGCTAATTACTGAGATGATGATAAGTGTTACCATTATTTAGGCACTCCTTAATTTGTATCCAAGCTGATGATGAATATCCAAGCCAAATTGGTTATGTATATATATAGCAAACAATCATTCTGTTGCAGTCATATCCAACTGTATCAACTGCCCTGCCATGCTGACTACACTCAATGATATTCCAGTACGGTTTGGCAAATATTTGACTGTAAACTCTACATATGTATAAGTATAAAAATATATCGATTATATGTAAAGATATTTGAACCCCAAAAAAGTATTAAAACCTTATTTATACCCAACATGTACAACAAAGCTACAAGTTACACAGGTAACTTTCACACAGGTAAGTTACCTGCATGGTAAGTATGGAACAGACTATAATTGGTACACCATTGTCTTCCTAAATCAACACTTTCCTTTGTTATATGAAAAAGTTGGGGAAACGAGAACACCCCCCAGCCACACGCCCCCC